AAGAATATTTCAAGTCTCATCCACTCATCTTAATTAAATATCGATCACTCAAATCGTTAAATAACCAAGAATCCTCCCCAGCAGAGTCGCCAAATTGTAGGCGTCGTTCGAAGTGCGCCTACGTTAAGCATGTTGTGAATATGCTTGGCACTCATAGGAAGTGGGAATTGACATAATACGATTAAGGACAAGGAAAGTAGGGAGCCACCAATAAGTTTTTAAGGAACTTGTAAACCGTTCACGGATCATAAAAGGCAACAACGATTGACCCATGAAGGTTACACCCCATTCATAATCCATGAGATTACTAACTCCATATGGTTCGGAACCACGAAAGGAGGATCGGATGATGGTACGAAGTGAGTCATGGAGTCACATTTGCCCGTATTGGCCTCTACTCGATTCTTATAGTGAAAAGTTATTCCTGCAGTTTCAAAGGCATACAAACAAAGATTCAATTCGCTCTAAACTATTATTAAGCTAAATTGGTTGAATATTAACACATAATTCTAAAATATTGTGATCACTTCAATTAACACATAATATCTCACACAACTTTGGTAAGGCAGCTGGCCCTTCACAGCTCCCCAAGGTGTTATGAAGATCACATCATGGAATTGCCGAGGACTAAATGACCAAAGTTCTCCGAAGCTTCCTTACGTGTTTTGGTTACTACACTCTTTTGTTCCTAACTTTTTGTTTCTTTGTGAAACTAAAGTTTCTGTCTCAGTTGTGACTAGCTTTCTTAGTAGTTCTAATATTACCTTGGTTTTTGGGGTTGACTCGGATGGTAGTAGCGGGGGTTTAGCTGTTTTTGGGTTTGGTTCAGAAGATGTTTCTTGCGTTTTTTGTTGTTCAAACATTGTACTTCGTAATATAAAAGTTCCTAATGAAATAAGTAGATGTGTGATGTTTGTTTATGGTGCTCCGGTTGTAGAAGATAGACCTCAAATTTGGGGTTTGATTTTAGATTTACTTGCTTTTGTTCTTAATTGTTTGATTATTGGTGATATTAATCAAATAAAGCATAGTTATGATAAGTTGGGTGGTTCTAATGTAATTAAGGGTTGGGATTCCTTTATTGATTTTAGATTAAAATCCAGTCTACTTTCAACTCCTTTCAACGGCCCCCCTTACACTTGGACAAACAATCGGGGAGCACATAAACTAATTCTCCAACGGCTCGACCGCTCCTACATGACCTCTGATTGGTTTCAGAACTATGCAGATAGTCGTTTACTCAATCAACCGATCCTTGTTTCTGATCACGCTGCTGTTGTGTTTGACAACTCTTCCTTCCAACACATGTCAAATCGTCCTTACCAACTGGACAATTGGTGCCTTAATTATACACAAGTACGTGACTTCGTTCTTCACACATGGCAAAGGCATACTATTGGCTCCCCAATGTTTTCCCTATCGAAAAATTTGGAACTTGTAAAGAGGCTAATTCGGAAGTGGTGTCTTAACAATAAGAAATTTTGGGGCGTGGATTGGAAAAATTTCTCAAAGGATCTTTCCACTCAAGGAGATTCAATTCAGTCAATCCCTAATGCGGTTCAGTAATGTCTAATATTGTTTCTTCAAAGGACAGTATTATACTACAACTTCAATTCTGGAGACAACGTTATAAGAAAATCTAGATACTCGAAGGGGATTGCCCCTCTAAGATTTTGTTCTCCAAAGTTAAAAGTCGGCAGAAAAAGAATGAGATTACGTCCTTACTTGATGATCAAGGTGTTATTCAACATGGTCAGGCCGTCCAACGTATTGTAGTGGCCTCACTTAAACAAACCTTTAAGAGTGATGTTATGCCTTCCTTTGATCCGGAAATTGACATTGTTTGCAAGAACTTGATCTGCCGCAATTCACTTCTTCTCAACTTAATAACTTGGAAGAGCTTTTTCGGCTAAGGAAATTAGGGATAGCATGCTTGCTTTAAGTAATTGTAAATCGCCTGGCCCGGATGGGATCACGGCGGAATTCTTCAAAACGCACTGGGATGTTGTTGGAGATTCGGTTATCACTGCCATTTAATGTTTCTTTCAAACAGGGTTCCTTTTAAAAGAATGGAATCAATGTCTCCTGGTAATGATACCAAAAATTGGCACTCCAACGGAGATTCGACATTTGCGACCAATCATCCTTTATAATACGATTTACAAATGCGCTTCGAAGTGCCTGGTCGCCAGACTGCGTCAGTATCTTCCTCTTCTTATCTCAAATTCTCAACATGCCTTTGTTCAAGGCAGAGAGTTATGACGGATAACATTATGTTGAGTCATGAGTTAATGGAGAAAATTAACATTTCTAAATCTGGTTCTAATTGGTTAGCCGCAATCAAAATCGATATGAGCAAAGCTTACGATCGAGTGCATTGGAGCTTTCTTTTACAGGTCCTAAAAGCCTACGGGTTCCCAGCTCGCTAGTTGCAGATGATCCAACAATGTTTATCCACGGTCTCTTACAAGTCCCTTATCAATGGAACGACTTCGGACCCCTTCAAACCACAGTGTGGTCTCCGCCAAGGTGACCCTCTCTCACCGTACCTCTTCCTTTTTTGCATGGATATTTTTTCGAGGATGCTGCATCTTGGACAGGATTTGAATTTATTTCAGGGATTAAGTTTATCCAGGACGAGCCCTTCTATCTCACATTTATTCTTTGCGGATGATGCAATTATCTTTTTCCGGGCAACTTCTGAGTCCTGCACTAATATAATAAAGATTATTCAACGGTTTACTAAGGTTTCTGGTGAAGAGTTAAATCTGTCAAAATCCTTAATCAAGTTTAGCCCCAATACTAGTACCTCTACTCAGGCTAGTTTCAAATAAGTGTTCCAAATGAAGTAATTTCAGGTGTTCGATCATCAACTGGGGGCTCCAATTGATTTTGTCGGAAAAAAGAAGGACCACTTCCAATTCATTGTCGACAAAATAGTCGGAAGAATAAATTGTTTAAATGTTATCCGGCTTTCTCAATCGCAGAAGTTAATTTTTATTAACTCAAATCTTGTAGCTTTAGCTTCCCATCTTCTTGCTTGCTATGAGTTGACGGTCTCTATTACGGGGAAAATTGATTCTTTACTCATGCGCTTCTTCTGGGCGCATTCTAATACTAAAGGTATGCATTGGGTTAGTAAGGATACCATGCATCTTCCCCGTGGCTTGGGAGGTTTGGGCATTCGCTGCTTGTCGTCTTTAAATAAGTCTTTGCTTATGAAACAGGTTTGGCGACTCTTTACTAACCCCCAGTTGCTAGTGTCTAAAGTTTTCGGTGCGCGCACAACCTTTCTTTCCAACAAGTCTTTGAGTCGCCCACGATTCTCTGGGCGTCATTCGTATGGCCTTCGGGGGTCACTTAAAGAAGACTCTCTTTTACGACAAGGTTGCCATTGAAAAATTGGTAATGGCCGATCGACTCTTGCTGGTTCGGCTAGTTGGGTCAATGATAGCATTCCAGAGTTTAAACCCGGGATTCCTTTACAAAATACAACAGCTCATACTGTCAGTTTTTTCATTTACCCTCAAACCTTGGGGTGGGATACTGCTAAATTACTGATTGGTTTATCCCTTCGGATGCTTCTACAATCTTAGCTATGGAGGTGCCTAATACAACTCAGGAAGATTTTCGTTATTGGTCTAGTACCCCGTCAGGGAGGTACTCGGTAAAAACAAATTACGCAATGATACAACAACAACACTCTTCGACTTCTACACCTGCTGGTATTGGGTCCTTTTGGAAAGTTCTTTGGTCACTCCAGTTACAACCAAAATGGAAGTTGTTTTTATGGAAACTGCTACATTGTGCTCTTGCAGTTAAGGTGGAACTCCATCGTAGAGGTGTTCTGATTCAAGACGTGTCTTGCGACCTCTGCACATCAGAATTGGAGGATTTACAACATCTCTTCAGAATGTGTTGTAGTGCACGAACAGCTTGGAGGGGTGGATGCCCCAGCATCCGCTCAGAATTTAATGGACACCTTTCTCTCTCAGATTGGATCCAAGAATATATCCGACTTTTTATTAGTCAGGATGGGCCTTCGGGTACGTGCTTAGGTACCTTCGTCGGTACACTTTGGAGTCTGTGGTTATGTCGGAATTCCAAAATCTTTAGGGATTCTACTACTTCCCAAACATTTGATTCTCAGTTAGCACAGGTTATGGACGCGCATACAATGTTTGTCAATACGGCCGCCACTACGAGCATCACCTCCGTTGCAGGATATGCTGTTGGTGCCTCTCCTCCGCCTGGGTTTTACATAGCTCAGCTTGGACTGGGCACCCAAGGACCGCCTCTACTTTCTCTCCAAATAGACGGGTCCTGGTTCAAAGATTCTCAACAAGCTGGAATGGGATGGCGCGTGGATAATGCAGACCCGTTGGATGATCAGATCATTGGTGGAAGTAACTTTGGGATTTGTAACTCAGCTTTACACGCGGAGACCTTAGCATGCATGTATGGGTTACAATGGGCTTTTGATCGCTGGTTTCATTCGCTAACGGTTTTTACTGATTCCTATAATCTTGTTTCCCTTCTTAGGGGGGATGGTCATGGTAACGTAGCTTACCTTTGACTCATTCGCAAGATTATACTTCTTGGCTCTACTTTTCAATTTTGTAGCATTCACAGGGCAGATCGTCAGCGCGTCCATCGAGCTCATCAAATAGCCGGGGAAGCGTCGGTTAAATTTATTCGCTTTAATATTAATATGTAATCTATTTGTATCATTTGTCAAAAAAAAAAAAAAAAAAAAAATAGAAGAGCATAATCTAAAAACTTTTAACTTGGATTTGACTTTAACCAAATAAACCCAAATCCAACAAGGCAACAACCATATTGTGAGAACATGCACCTTTACCTTGTCTTCATTTGTAAACATTACTCATAATTGTTTATCAAGTGGCAAACTAGTAAATATACATTGTATGACTTAAAGTTGCATTTTTCATAGCGGTTTTAACTTTTAAGGCACCGGTTAATGATTTTACTCAATTTTGCATTTTGACAAACCACCTATATTTATCACGACGATAAACTGGGGAATAAAATTCATCTAGCTATGAACGCATGACATCTAGTGAGTAAGAAGACCAAAAAATTGAAGACTCAAAGTAGGAAGCAATAACAGTTCTTGTGGATTTATTCTTCTTCTTCTTCATCCAGGTAACTCTTCTCTGCCATCATCCCCTTTGAATTTTATGTTTCACCCCATCAAAATTAATCTAACCTACATTTTGCCCATCAAAATTGTTTTTCTTCAATTATCAAAATTTGCAATTAATTATTTCTTCAATGGTTTCTTCTTCATTTAATTTTGTTAGAGGTATGATTCTGTTTTTTTAAGATCCCCAGATGAAAAAGAGTAAATAGATTCAATATTGAGTAGTATGGTTTTTTTTTTTTTTTTTTTTTTGAACGATATTGAGTAGTATAGTTACCAAATTGAGCTTGTCAATATCAATAGGGTTATAGTTTTGGCAATTAAGAAACCTTAATTAGTAAATTTATTTGGGTGATAGTGGATATTTTTCTCAAATTTTGGTGGGGTTTGTTGGAAAGAAGGTAAGGGACTAAGGGTCATGGCATTAACATATATTATTGGGATCATAGTAGAAAGATTGGCTTGTGCTGTTAATAAGAGTTGAACTCGAATTTTTCGGAGAGTTTTAGGATTCATTTGATTTGAGTAAGGTTTTATTTACAATATTGTACATATGTAATCAGTTGTTGCTAGGATAATTTTGAATGAGATTAGCTGGTCTCATACTCTCATGAAATAATTAATTAAAAAAAAATGAAAGCATTATGTACAGGTAGGATAGGATGCACCCGTTCAAAAAAAAAAAAGGTAGGATAGGATGCATTGACATTGGCTAGTTACGTGTAGTGTTGTCAATTTAGTGAATTTTTTCTCTAGTGAAGAGCTAGCATTAGATTTCCTGTCAATGACTGGTCATAGTGCAACATTATTGAGATATTGTGGTTTCATACTGATGATAGTGTTGTAAGCCTGTTTGGTATTTTTGGATGCATCAATATGAGTGAAATGGCTAATAAGTGTGGTAGATAATTCTATTTCTGGATTTGGTGTACTTCGCCAATGGAGGTGTTTTTTTGTTGCTATGATCTGTTGCTGCTCAGTACTTGACTAGTTGGCTTCTAGGATGATATACATTCCGATAGTGGCATAATCGCAAGCTATAGCTAGTGCATACCCTTACGTCCCACAGTACTTATCTTAGCCGACTTTTAAAAAATGCTAAGGTGCATAATTGATGAGCAGAATTAAACCAACAGTGTTTTAGCATTATGGAAAAAGGGACTATGATTGGGCGAATATGCTTTTTAAAAGAGAAGGGATCAACTAAGGGCCAGATGTACACTCTGTTTGGATTTAACCTATGCTTTGTAGATCAAATAGAGCTTACCTAGTTATGAATCTTATGATCTATGTGAGCTGAGTTAATTAAGATGCGATTCCAAACCAGCATTATGTTGACTCAATCACAGAGTTGCTTGGAATGGAGAGGTTAGCACGGACTCCTCCCCGAAGTTAGCCTCATTGACTCTCAAATTTAAGTCTTTTCATACCCTAGATAAATAGAATCAAATTTGCAATGTTAGACAGTTCTTGTGTGATTTGCTAAATCAGTCTGCCTGTCTTATAGTCATAGATGCCTATAGCTGTATTTAAGGTTACATGATAGATACTGAAGAATGAATAAAACTTAGAAAAGGTTACAAAAAGGGTAGAAGTTTGCAAGGTGTTGTGCTTCTGATTGGGAACAGTCATAAGACTCATAACATTCACAACTAGTCATAGTTTATATGCTGATTCAAATTGCTATTGCTGTTGCTGATGCCGTGAGCGTTAGTACCTTTAGCTAACTCCCTTCTGCTGGCTACCAGGGTGAGGTTGATGGTAAAAATAAGCTTTTTGACTCAAAGCTCAAGGCCTTACAAGTTGGTCCTGGTAGTTAATTGACTTGAACAGTTCGGTGACAATGGTATTGTACTATTTGTAGAGCCCTACTTTCTGCTTTGAATGAGGATATTTTTCCGTGGGATTTTGTTCTCTAAAGGTATAATAAGAGAAGAGAGGTCATTGGATCAATTTTCTGCCATTTGGCCCTTGAGCCTCCTTTGCAGACCAATATAAAGTTATAAACTGAATTTTCCCTTGAATCTACATTTGAGTTGGGGTGTGCATCAAAGCCTTAACTATGAGCTTGCATTTACATTAGCTACTCTATGGCATTAGCTTCAACCGATTCCTACTTATTTGATTTATATCCAATCACTCAATTAGCATCCTATTGTTGTAGTTTTCTAGGATTATCTGAAGTCTATTGTTATGTTGATGCAAATGTTCGAATGGGATACTCAATGTACATACAATTAAGTTTTAAATATCAAGTTGAGGATCCTGACCTTCCAGTCAGTTTTGCACCATATCTTTGGGATGGTGGTAAAAATTGATTTAAGCAAGAATTATGAGGACTGGTACTTAGTGACGTGCATTTGAGTTCAGGATGTTCTAATTGGTGGAGATTTTCAACTTTTTATTCTTTGGTAAAAATCAAACGATAGGAAATGGAGATGAAACTCATTGTTGTTTTTGAGCCATTAGAGTTTGTAAATATATGGTTTAGCTTTGGCACCCTTGTTTCTCTTTCTTAATAATTTCTATCCTCTTTCCCTCCATAACCTAATGCCTATTGGGGGTTGGGGGGGGGGGGGGTGGGGGGGTGAGCCGGAGACACGAAATAGCAAATAGTTTGAGTCCATATCTATGTGTTGCATGATATAATTTCTACAAAGAATAAGAGTGCTCCCAGCAACCTTTCCCACATGCTGAAAAAGATAAGGTATAGTAAAAAAAATGACCACTTTCAAAGTCATCCCTCCTAAAGCCTACATTTCTGTTGAGATCACCACCAATGATCAATTTCTCACCTCATGTTGCACCACTTCTCCCAATTTTTTCCAATTTTTTTGTATTTTAGGTGCATCCAATCCTGCTTGTGGTGCATAAGCACTTATAATAGTTGTGATCTCATCTCCTATAGTCCTATCACAAGCTTAACAGTCTTAATTCGATCACTCTTTTTAGACACCTCCATTACATCATCTACATAAATCAATGAGGATACCTACCCTTATCTTTTCCCGACTACCAAAGCTTGTAACTCCATAAAGCTTCTTCTTTTGCCTTGTGTCCAACCCACTTGACCTCTTGTAAGGCACATTATATTGATTCTCCTCCTCTTTATAACCTCTACTAATTCGACCAACCTCTTAGTCAAAGTGCCAATATTACATGACTCAAAATACATCTTATTATCCATATTATTTCCATGGACTAGCTTTTTACGCGCATTCATCCGTCATGCGGGAACCCCTGCATACTTGACACCATCCAAGTGCATCCCGGTACAACCTAGCAACCCTTATATTTTTCACTACAACTGGGTCTATGAAGTGTAGCTCGCCACTGAGTAGGGGACGCCCCACAATATCCCCAATTTTGATTCATGTCCATATAATGTGACTTGACCTGCCGCAACTTTTCTCCTTTATTCGTGCTTGAGACCACCTGCCATGAATGCCACAAAACAATACTCGTAGGCTGGTGCAAATTGAGTTTATGCAGTTGAGTGGTCATCTGGCCAATATAGCCTTGCATTATAAAAAGTCTTGAGAGAGTCTACAATATAATATCTTTACGTGAGCTTTTGAAATATTAGAATTTTAGAGCTTGCTGAAATGAATTTCATAGGTAAATTTTAAAGGACCCTATCTGTACAAATATGAAGTTCTTACAGTTACTTTGATACTACATGTTTCTGATACTCATTTTCCAGGATTTTATTTGATTGTATCTTCCATTTAATCCATTAATGGGTATTGTAGAAGAAACAAAGCTTACTTTTGTTCTAGGAAACAAAGTCCGTACACTGAGCATTACTGCTTAAAAGAGCTTCTGCTTGCCAATCTAATGCATCTAAGATAATTAATCAAGGGGGTTGTGAAAAAGCATGCAGCTGTAGTGCCAAGTGGTAACCTCATTTGCTTTGATGCTGAAAATCCTGAGCTGATACTCTGGATTACAGAATGCCATGATAGATTTACAGATTACCTTGGTGGTCCTCCTCTAATGCATGGAAAGTTAAAAAACACTCCACAGGATGAATGTGCCTGACTGTGGGAATATAAGTGTGAAGAAACATATTTTAAATTCTTTGAGAGGCATAATGTTTCGAACTAAAAAGGTACTGAAGCCTTAGAGAATGATATTTTCCCTAAAAACTACTTCTTCATCTTGAAATGAATTTTCTTCCCACTCCTTTATCTGTGCCAATCCTCAAGGGTGCTCAGCTGCTCACCCTTTAGCTTCTACAGAGCACCTAGTGTGATATTGGAGGCTGCTTTCTTCTGTGCTCTGGCTGCTTTTGCTGCTCTTTGCTGTCTCTACAAATTAATCCAGCCAAATAAAAATTAGGTTCAGTCTTGGTCTTTTGTGATCTTCTCTCTGCTCTTTTGATCTTTCTTCTGTGCTCTTTGTCTGTTGACAAGTGGTTTGTGATTTTGTAGTAGTAATTCACTATTTTGTCTGTGATATGTGGATCAAGTTTGATACTGTATCCTAGTGTTTGTGTTTGACCATATACTTCAGAGGATGTGTCTTCGGGCTGTATTAGGGAGCCTTAAAACTAATACTAAGTTACCCGCCTTTTTATCTCCTCTTCTTTTTCCTTTAACCCAGCATTTTGACTTTCCTTCTCTTTAAGCACTCTTATCTTCTAATACTGTTTTGTATCCCATCTACATTTCCATAAACTTGTGGGTTTGTCTTTGAAATAGCTTTAGGATTAGAAGGGCTGGAATTTTGGATATATCTTTGGGAAGGATAGCTTGACCATGTAGAAAAAATCTCCTCATAAAGTGTCTCTTTAACTGTGTAAATCAATGCATCTAAGCTTCAATTAGGTCACCGACATTGAAAATTTTAGGTTTGATTGGTATCTAGAGGACAAAGCAAGCCAACTCTGATTATTTTTTTTAGTAATGGTAAAAGAGTTCAAATATGTAATAGAACATATATGCCCTTTTTGGTATAATTACTGGCTTGGATTGGACACTTAGACCTTGTAACAAATCTGTCTTTGGCTCTTTTCCCCTTGATTAAGAGAGAAAATCCTGAAGGCCGGATTACGGTAAAAATTGGAGGATTGGACTGACTGGTACAGCTGCTTTTTATACCTACATGATGCCATCTAACCCAAAGATAAATACATGTTGCAGTGCTGATGAAGAAAAGAATATAAAAGAAATTTGGATATCTCAAATTCTTCCTAGATTTTACTCTTACCTGAGGTTTTTTGCCACGACATTATGTATATCTGAGTCTATTACCTCTTTGGCATTTGCTTTCTGTATTGCAGTCTTATGGGGATTTAGAAATGGAAGAATTATATTGCATAGGGGAAGAGGGGAAATTGTCTGCCAGATGGTGTTCGATTCTGCTACTATTCATTAGCTTGTTATGTTTTTCACCTTGTCAGAAAAAGGGAAAATTTGAGAGTTGTATGAATGTATGATTGCCTTAGACAATGATCCATAGTGCCTATTGAAACTCGTGCGAAGCAAATTTTTTTGTATACTCTATTACTCATGTTTCATTATTCATTTTCATAGTGTTTTCTCTCTTCCATTTAGATAATTAAGTGAAGAACAGAAAACCGATGTCCCGAAGGCGCAATGCTATTGTAGCTGCTGGATTAGTTGTTTTTGCCACAGCTGGTTTGACATTTCCTTTCTACATGGCGTAAGTTCATTGCTTTTATATGGCTGTAATTATATTAGTTCCTCTGGAAACTGATTGATGGTCTGCTTTTTGTAGATCATCGTCTAAGAAACAGCCTGTCATTGACTCATCGAAACCCTTACCACCTCAGGCAACCTTTCGAGGACCATATATCAACACTGGTTCACGTGACGTTGGACCAGATCATCGTACTTATCCAAAAAATTAAAAAGTTTTATGGTTACCTGAGTAGCATTTTCCCTGATATTTGTTGTAACTGGAATTCTAGAATGTGAATACTATAGCCTTATAAACTATTTTGTTAGACAGTAATATTGAAGTAATAAAGGCATGTTGCAATCAATTGTATTCTTGCATGGTTGTTTCAGTGCATCGTTTTATAATTTCGTTATTATTATTTTTTTGATACTACTTCGTATGAAATATTCTTTGTTATCTTTTTTTTTTTTTTTTTTTTTTTTTTTTTTTTTTTTTTGAAACAAGATGAGGTCCATTTCCGCCAAAGTTATATTTTGAGGAAAGAAACATAAACGTACAACCTCAACATTGTCACCGGTGTCACCTCTAGCAACTAGACGAGCCACCTTATTAAACTTACGGTTTACATGACCAAAAGAGCAATCATCAAAGAGCAACCTATCTTGTCTAATATCATCATAAATAGAGTGAATTGGCGACACACCACCATCATCCAAATTCACAGCTTGAACTACATTCCAATCGTCAGATTCAACCAAGATCTTAGAGAACCCATGGCGCTGCACGCAACCTGTAGTGCAAAGCTGGAGATGTTGAATGGACTTTCCTTGTAGCCGTAGCAGCAATAGAACCCTAAGCATCCCTCCATACCACCCCCAAACTCGCCATTGCCATGTTAGGCATATGAGCATCAGTATTAATTTTAATATATCCAATTGGAGGAGAGGTCCATCTCGTTGCACTCAGACCTTGAGCAGGCATCACACAAGGCTTGAAAACTCGTTGAGCATAGGAGTTATACTCCATAACCATACGAAGAAAACCCGCAGCAATCACCACAGGGTGTGAGCACTCACCTTCGAAGACAACAAGGTTCCTACACCTCCATGCCACCCACATAAGAGTAATCATTTGTCTCACAACATCACCACTAAATTTACAATTCAACCAAGCCCAAAGATCAACAAAGGAGGAGGTTGGAGCATCAACCAAGCTGCCAATATGTTTACAGTGCGACCATATTTCTTTTGCAGCATTGCACTCGAGCAAATAGTGTATGATTGTCTCTTTCTCCGCACCGCATATTTGACAAGACGAGTCTTGAGTAATATGCCTAAAAACCAATCTATCCATCACAGCCAAATTCCCCTTCATAACACTCCAAATAAAGTGTTGTAATTTCGGAGGACCACAAATGCGCCAAATTGATTGCCATATAGTATCATCATGTACCTGCTGCGGCTGATCCCCATTGCCCAATTTAGCAAGCCAATACCCCGACTTAACTGTATAAATGCCCCTCTTATCACCCTGCCAGTACATAGTGTCAGCATGCTGCCTACTTGACAGTGGAGTAGCTAAAATGCGCGCAGCCATTTCCGGAGCAAACATCCTTCCAATTTCCCCGCATCCCATTTCGCATATCCATCCCTAAATAGGTCCCTTACCTTCATCTCTTCATCACAATCAGTCGGTTTGTGAGGATATATCACAAGCCCCTCAACAACCAGCCATGGATCCTTCCACACCCGAACTGTTCTGCCATCCCCAATTCTCCACAATAATCCATCACGAAGTAAGCTTTTCGCACCCCACATGCTTCTCCACGAGAAGCTTGGATCATAGCCCCAACATGCTGCCAACATAGTACATTTGAGTATTTAAAATACTTCGCTTTGAGAAATTTATGAAGGTCGACTCATTCGAATGAAGTCGCCACAATTGTTTAGCTAAGAGGGCTTGATTAAAGCTCTTTAAATCACGAAAGCCTAAGCCCCCTTTAGCTTTAGGAAGGCACAACTTCTCCCAACTTTGCCAATGAAGCTTCTTCGCATCTTCTCTCGATCCCCACCAAAACAGGCATAGAAGATTGTGAATTTCATCAATTAACCCATCCGGGAATCAAAATATGCTTCATCATATATGTAGGGTTTGAAAGGAATGGTGTCCTTCGAACAAGTGTATTATTCTGATAGTGGGTTCAGAATTATTAGAAAGCTAATATATTCAGTAAGGTCAAGTGATCGGAATGCCTAGGTGGAGGCCGCTTCCGATCAGTAATATTAATGCATAATTAATATTACAGCTTAATCTTGACTGAACCCTTAGGGCCACACCCAAGCAATGAACGAACCGACTCGACGAATTAATTCGGAAAAAATTAATGAGTCGCCCGAGTATTTAATATTTAGACATCGAAAATTCGAGCGTCGATACCGAGCGTCGGAGAATCTCAAATGTCGAGCCAAAATTTAGGATTTGGTGAGACGGGAAAATACTTCAAGTAACAAGTAAAATCCTAGCCACGCAAAAGGCTAGGAAAGCGCGCCTGTAGACACCCATTTGTGTCTCCCCAAAACCAAACCCGGTGATGAGTGCCTTTCACGTCGAATCATAATCGAATGAAACGAAAGTGTGGAAAGGTCTAGTGTTGCGGAAAGTTTTATTTCTTTTCTCTTTTTCCTGTTTTTGAAAACTTTATTTTAAGAAAATAGACAATCCAGTTTGGTTGGTCCATTATATGGGTCCAATAGTGGTGTAGTTGGATGGGACTTGCAAAGGTCTTTCCAACGATATATTATAAGCCCAATTCCGATGAATATTGAGGAAATTATGGCCAATTTACTAAACTGGCCCGGTTTGAGCTTTAAGTACGGCCTAATGATCTAGGGGAGGGCCTAATATAGTTTATCATTCCTAATGCAATTAGGAATGGTTTTAGTCTTCTAGAACATTCTAGAAGGTTCTTTTCATTCCTAATTCAATTAGGACTCTTCAGAGTTTTAATCAAGATCAAATAGCATTTTCGATGGAAATTATATTATTTTATCTTCTAGTACAGGAAATTTATCGGATTTTCGAAAACGCGTGGAAAATCAGTTTGGCGTCCAACCCCAGGCCTTGGCGCCTGAAACCAGGATTGGCGCCTGGCGCTAGCCACTGGTCCTGGCGCCAACTAGCCAGGGCTGGCGCCAATGTGTTTTTGCGATCTTCAAACTCTATTTTGTTAAATTATCTTTTTTGGATGATTTTCTCTATGAATATCGTATCAAAAACTCCGTTTTCATTCACCAACTATCTTCATCATTCATCAACAAGCATCATCGATCATCAACTCTCTTCATTCACAAATTATTCATCAATTAGCATTCATCTACAGTCAAATAATCCTTTTCATTCATCTCTTTTCATCAACTTTCATTAACATTCATTCTTTATTTTCTTCAATTCTTTCTTTGCTTTTTTAACACAAAATTCCGCATTCGCAAGATCTTGATACACCTAGCCATATTCGAAGTTGCCTTCGCCCTAGACGTGAAAGGTTTTAATTTCTGAGGGTTTGGTCCCAAATCTCTCTTTCAATTATTTAATTTAATTGTTTTGATTATTATTTTCCTTGAAGTTACTAACGCGTGTATTTTGTTATTAGAAAGAGGTACGAGGAATCAAAGTAAGTGCTTCAATTGATTAATTGATATTATGATGTAGAAATCATGTTTATATTTTTATTATGATATTCCTAGTATCATGTTTAGGGTAATTTTAATATTAAATATGATTGTTATGATGCTTCCTATATTCTTCCTAATATTTATGATTGTTAGTATCATGTTAGGGTTAAAGATTTGATTTTTATTGTTTAGTGACATGCTAGGGTTTGTTATTAATCTTGTTAATATCATGCCTAGGATCTTGCTATGCTTTAACATGATTATGATTATCATTAATTATGATTGATATTATTATTATTATTCATGATGTTGATTATTCATTATGTTGCTTGATATGTATTATATTTTTATTATTTTATTGCTTGATCACACCTTTGATACATGTTTAAAGGGAATTGGTACTTGTAATCACGCTTAATAAGATATTTAATAATCTTGTTAGGTTAACTTTGATTATAATTCAAGTGATCGCCAATAATAGTTTATTTGTGCATTAAATTCAACCAACATAGATTAAACAGGTTTAGGGTTAATCCTATTGATTGTATGTTAGTCAGAAAGCGCACATGAATACGAGCAGAATAAAGTAGAGGCCTATTATTAGGGCAGGTTAAATCTCTTCTAGGTTGGATTTGTACCATCATCCCCGAGCCCTTATTTGGTTCATGACCTTATGGAGTTGACGATCTCTTGGATCGTTAAGGGGTGTAACCTTCACCTCGTGAACGGTTTACAAGTTCCTTAAAAACTTGTTGGCGACTCTTTTGCTCTATCTTCTTCCCTTTTGGACGCCACCGTACTTTAGTGTATGATAACAGTGGGGTTCAAGCTAGTGGGATTTTAAAGGCTTGAAATTATTCCCTACAGTTTTTGGCGACTCCACTGGGGAGGATTTCTATTTTAATTCCTGAATTTGTTTCGGCAATGATTTAGAATGAGTGGATGAGACTCGAAAAGTTCTAAGTATTTCATGTGCGTAATTTTGATTAACATTATTGTCATATGCATAAAAAGTTTCTCATTGGAAAGACCATCCGTAATGAGTCAAAAATATAGGATTTTACACGTAGGAAATTTGAGAAATGTCTTTCACAACTAGGAATGAAATAACACCGCGTGAAACTGGATGATTTTATTGAACACATAAAGCTGCTGAGGCATGTGGGAAGTAACGTCAGGGGCCAGAGCTTGGCGCCAAACTTTTAGCCGTAGCGCCAGACGCCAGTATTGGCGCCAGGCGATACAGTTAAAAGTTGGCGCTAGTCCCTGTTTGCTGGTGCCAATTTCCCCCAATACCGAGCCAGAAATATGCGTTCTAATTTCGACCGGTTTTTCGTATTGTTTGCTCGATCCTGCTTCCTGATTGAATTTTTTCTCACTTTTCTGAAACCCATATGTGTTCTACATATGGACATAACCCTCTGGGAATTCATGCTCTATCTACCCGATTGAACGCTCCTGGCAACAAAGGGTACATCTGAGAGGTTGAATTCACCAAACCATGGAAGTGAGTTTTTTCTAAAAACTCGCGGTGTTCTATCCACACGCGTTAACCCTTTACGGTTAGGCTTCTACGCGGTGCATCTGGACAATTAACCATGGACCCTATTTGACTAAACCATATCCCGAACTTTAGAGAACTAGAGCCATGGTTAGGTTGCGAACTCATTGCATCATATTGTGCCTACTTGACTAATTGTGCATTATTTGTTGTGCATATATACTCTATGCTCCTCTTAACCGTTTGTTGATTTGTGTTGAGATTAAAATTAATGACTTAAAGAACTTTTCCTAATTAATTTATTAATTAATTAATTAATTTGAGTCAATAAAGTTTCTTTTTAATCGGAATTGACTTAGTACGACTTTAGGCATACCCCAGTTGACTAATAATACCGAAAACAGTCCCTGACCAAAGCTCTAATGTTGGCGCCAAAGTCTGAGCTGTAGCGCCACTGTATAGTGTGTAGCGCCAGACATTTACTAAAAAGTCTGGCGCCAATCACTATATTGTGACGCCAGTCCTGTTGCTTGGCCGACAGTTCGGATTATTTGTCGAGTCATCACCTACTGTCTAATCAGTCAGTTTTCTGTTTAATTCGGTTAATTTTGCCGACTATGATGCTTAATTGAATTAATGTTCGAATCTAGGCACTAAGTCTCATGGTCTTACACAAGAGTCCAAGCATGTCACTTACACCCAATACACACACCAATACACATGTCTTGACCATGATTAAGAGAGTCTTGTGTGCGCGCCTTTTTTCGTCATCTTTTTTAGGGGGGTAAGTTGGATATTAATCCTCCAATAAATAATAATACTTAGTTCCCTAAACACATGTACATTATTGCTCCCTAAAAATACGCATACTTTTTTTTTTAAAATAAATAAAAACCATAAAGTCAAGTTGACTCGAGTCAAGTAATTAAAACGCAAATTGGCTTAATTTACAGCGCGTGGTCAAGAAAGGAAGGACGATTAATCAAAGATAACCTCTTCGTACAAGTCCAACTTTTCGACAAACCTATAGCCCGCAAGAGGAAAGCAAGAGTCATAATGGCAACTCAAGAAGAAGTCAATGATCTCAAGAACCAACTGGCTACTGTAACTGAGACACTGAAGCTTCTCGCACTTAAGATCGAGGATCCCGTGAAGCAACAACAAATGGACCTCATGCAAGAGAGCCTAAGCAAGTTGTCAAGCGACTACAAGTTTCAAGAACTCACGTCCCAAGGGGTCTCGGTGGATAAAGATCTTCTTCCACAGAAGTTCAGTGCCAACGACATCCCAAAATTTAAGGCAATCGACAACCCCTATTTCCATCTAAGGGCATTTGAAACAATAATGAGTATCAAGGGTATCGATAAGAAAGTCTTCCCTTCTCTGTTCTCACTATCTCTCGAGACCGTTTGCCAACAATGGTTCTTCTCTCTTGAAAAAGAAAAGACCTCTACCTGGGAATC